GACTATATTTTACATCTCACCTCTTATATAGAAATACATAACATGCCCGAAAACAATATTTAAATCTTACTTCACCAAAAAAAGAACAATATAAGGCTCTATTAAATGTTTAAAAGTGATGTATATACAAACCTTTTTTTTCATTTCAGATTTCTGCCACCAGGATCTTATATTAATATCCAAAAATTTGATTTGAAAAAACTGGGTGCTCTCATTGACTATCTTATAAAGAACCCACAAATGTACGAGTATTTCTTCGATTGGAAGAACCATTATTTCTATTCAGGCAGACCTAAATTTCAAATATGTGACTTGTGTGCGAAACTTAACCAGAATGACAGTGTGATTGTGAAAAGAAAATATAAAAACTTTAGGAAGTGGTGGAATCCTAATTTTAAAGACGCTTGTCACAGAATGAACTTACACAGTATATTTAACACATAAGTTTTGTTTACGCTTTTAAATTTGATAATGAGATATATCATAAAGGCTTTACTGATAAAATTTAGCATTTCATTTTTGAGCATATTAAATATTGCCGATATTAATTTAAATCTTCGTCATCATACGTTTACTACATACTGCTTAACATAAGTTTCTCCCATTGACTGCCATAGGAAACGGTTTCGAGTCACATGCATTTGAAGTCGTTGCACCATCTAGTGAGGAGTCGTTCTACATTTTGTTTGTCTGTACAAGGTCACCACTCAAAAACCTTTCTTTCCCATCTGTTGTTGAATCTTTAAGCTAAGCTTAACTTATTGCCACTTCAGCTTGCTTATCATTCGCGCTCTATCAGTCACTTTGGTTAATTAATTTAAAATATTCCCGCCCACTTAAATGTTCACAAAATTTGAGTATTAAACCAACACAACATTGATCCCTTTCGATTTAAAACAGACCCATACTCGTTCCTAAATTGGCAGAGACATGAGGTAATATTTCGTTCAATAGAATTGCTATTGAACCATATGATTTTTTTGAAGTAGGTCAAAAATTAAATACACAAGCAGTTTAAATATTTGTTTATACGACACAATCGACTTCAATATTTAGACTAAAAGTTTTCAGTTTAAAAATAATAACAAAAGTGATCCAAAAATCTTAGAGTAATCAACAAAAATCGTTGAATGGAAAAAACTGAAACCTTATCTCTTTTTAAATTAATTATTAACGTCCTTCTATTTTAACTATACCAAATTAACATACCAAAATAACAACATAATAACATACTGATGAATTCGAAAAATCAAATACGAAAAACTACTTGTATTTAAGATTGTACACTTAAATAAATTTACCGACCTATATAAGATTTTTATCTCCTAAACATATATCCTCAGGTTTGCATTAAAAAGGCTCCCGATATCACTCCCTCGGGACGCATCTGTGATCGACATCCCTTGCCGATTTATTATTGAATACTTTTTTATCCCGTCTCACTCCATTCTCTGACAATGCGACGAACTCCATCCATCTTCTCGAGTTCCTATGTTGTTTTTTTAAGATATCTTATTTCAATTTGAGCGTGATTTATTTCTTCTTCCAGTTATTGAATTTTTTATTTTGGCATTTTTTTATCGATCTTCACGCTTTGTATAGGATTGGCGGTGAAATAGTAATATGTAGTTCAATATATATATAACAGTATTGTAAGTATCTGACTGACCCATATATCAATGCATAGTTGAAACCGTTAAATCTAGAATCTTAAAATTTTACAGTTAAATTCTTTATTTATAGTAGATAAACAAAAACGACGAAATTTTAAAAATTCAACCAGTATAAAGAGTGAAACGAGGGTCAAAATTCTGTATGGAGTTTCGTCAGTTTAGATGTTAGATACATAACATTTTACAGAACAAGATAATCGGAAAATACACTCGAGCGGAGCCGCAAGCAAAAGCTAGTATTATATAAATTTTAGTACAATATCGATTCGATTCTTGGTTTAATCAGTTCAGGTATAAACCTACTCGGATAGAGGTCTTATAAAAAATATTTAAATATATAGCCTACTTATAATTCTAAAATTAATATACATAAAGTTAGTATTTTTATTTTACATAATTTAATAATATACATTTTTTGTTAAAAACTCTATCAAGTTTATAACTGTAAAAATAATATACGTTCACACCACACTTGTGGTCCGTACAACACCGGAACGGTCACCCGGGACAGGCCGGGAGGCAATAAGTTATTTAACGCTGTCAACGGTGTCTTAGTTACATTGCACGGTGCAAAAATCCAACACTTAGATATTATTATAAATTAGATATAGCAACTGCATATATTGTATATTATCTTAAACGCATATAAAACTCAAATATTCCGTGACAGTATTTCGATTTCGAATTTGCTAGAGCGGAGTCAAAAAAATTTTATCTGTCTACATTTCTAATATGACGGTTCGAAGGACCAAAAATGTGGGCGATATTATGTACTGTATGTTGATGAATTTTGTGTAATTAAACAATGAGTTTTAAGGAAAATAACTATTATAAATAAAACTATGGAAACTCTTAACATATCTCTTAAAGCCTAACTGCGGTTGCCAATCTGCCTGCCAAGCGTGACAACTACTGGCAAAATCCCTAAGCAGACGGCTTATGTTCAGTAGTAGACGATTAAGCGCTGATGAGGATGAGGCCCTCCTTCGCGACTGAGGTCCTCGCAATGCGTCTCCATCTACTTCTGCTCACAGCCGAGCGAGGGCATTCCACAAAAATTTACAAACACGTCTAATTATAAACATATCTATACAATAGAGACAATAATTACACGACAGTACATCGTAAACGAACAAGTAAGTTTAACGTAAGTTTAGAGGAACGGTATCCGTATTAAGCACCAGGTGCGTGGTGGTTTCGTAATGGCCACCCACTCTATATATTGTTGAATCTCGCATTCAAATCCAATTGCAATCCCCAATTCCCCACTGCAGTAGTTTAGTCCGTGTTTGTGTCACTCGTGATAAACCTCACACACATTTTACTCTGATTGAATAAGTATTTAATGTGATAGTAAATAAATAATGCTTAATATTTTTATTTGAGTACTTTTTTTTTTATTTAGAACCTTTTATCCTAAAAGGATATGTCAGCCCTATCATATCCTAACCTTGAGTAATTTTACATACTAAATTAAAAATAAAAGGAATCAACGACACACAAATACATACAGCGATTAAATATTTTGCCGTTACTGTATGTGGATCCGCAATTATTATCATTTCAGTCATTATCTGTCCACTGCTGGACATAAGTCTCCGCCATGGACTGTCTGGGGGTCGTTCTACACTGCATTTGTGCGTACGGGGTCACCACTCAAAAACCTTTTTTCCCTATCGGTTAATGGTTCTTCGACCTATGTAACCAGCCCATTGTCTTCAAGTTGCTTATCCTTCAAACTATATCGATTACATTAGTTCTTTTGCAGATATCTTCGTTTCGGATTCTATCACGCAAAGAGACTCCGAGAATAGCCCTCTCCATCGCCCAATGAGTAATTTGATGCTTTAGCATCGACAAATATACATTAAAACAATCCTATATGCTGTCTGTTTATATATATAAAATATATATTATTTATACCAAAGCTTTCATTTCTGTTTTGTATTTTTTATATTCGGTTATCATAAATTCGTCTAATATATTACAAACCTTAGAATTCAGGTTATTTTGTTTTCATAAGACATGCGAATTTTTCGACGGTTGATAGTGCAAAATAATCTCTCCTGCACTATAGATGTACACTGTCGAGACACCAATAAGGGACGATAGGTGAAGATGAAAACAGGGGGTCTACCATGAAATGAAAGTCCGAATTTTCGGACTCAATTTCGTATTTTTGTTCGTACAGAAATCGACCCTGTAAATGGAGCTTAACATTTCGTTTGTCATAAATCCTACCATAAAAATTCAAAGGAAAGATATTTTAGTATTTTTAATATTTTCAAACGGTACGTATCATGTAATGTTAGCATCAAATTTTTGTTTCGTTCAGATCCGAAATTTCGGAAAACATTTCATGGTAGGCCCTCAGATCAGTTAGAACATCGTGACAAATTTATGAATAATTAACCTATTACTCTATTTATATATACTTACCGATGTATATATTTATTTATACCTATTTTTTTAATTGTATAGATAATTTATTTATTTATTTTTAACATACAGGCATACGCCTGTTTATCTCATATTGGGTGAAACCGCTGGAAGAAATCTCTTTTAGAGAGAAGCTCGCCCTTGTGCACTAATTTGTGTGATTATTATTCTGATACAAATACTTTTTTTGTGTACAATAAAGAATAAAAAATATTCTTGATTTCCAGTTGGTAGCGCGTGTAGGTTTTTTTTTTTAATTTTTTATGCAACTTAGAATGGTAAATAAGCTGACGGCCCACCTGGAGAAAGTGGTAACCGTCGCCTATAGACATGAGCAGTACCATGGACATGACAGAGTATACTGTTTCGCCCATGATACCCCCCATGCGTTGCCATTCTTGTGGTGGACCTGATAATATATATTGCTAGCAATAGGAAAGGGTAAATCAAACTTACATTTATTGACTAGTTTTTACTGGCGATTTCGTCTGCATAACCGGATTTATACTAACGCCAATTGGTATATGTATGTAACGTAATATTATATTATATTGCCCAGTCCCAGCATAGAATGGACCATCCCCTTCTATCCCATGAGTATTGTAAGAAGCGACTAAGGAAGTTCAATAATCAAAAGATTGACAACGGCGTCCCTCTTAAAACATCACCAAAGCGTAATTGCGGTTGCCAACCCGCCTACTCAGCGTCGCAACTATTAGCAACTCCCTTATGGGAATGGACTATGTCCAGCAATGGATAGTTAACAACTAATATAATAATAAATAAATATCTAATATTATTACAAATTATAATTACATATCTACCTAGTATAAATATTATTTAACTGCACATATAAAATTCATGGTTTATTCACTTATAGAGGTAAAACTAAGATTGAATAGTAAAACCTAATGAAGCCGGCCTAATGAATATTCGAGAGTCCTCGACGCTCCACACGCCAGTGCAGAGGGCGCCACTGAGCCTGAAATTTGAATTATGCTTGGTCAGGTCCTTGAGGGGCTTGCGAGATGATAAAATTAGAATATGCCTGTGTAACGAATTGTGTCATATGAAAAAAACCGGTCAAGTGCGAGAGCGATTACAAAAAAATAGAACAGTGTTTCTAAATATAAAGAAAAATGTAAATGAGTTCTTAAATGATAAAAATAATATAAATGGTAAATAGATAAATACATATTGTGTTTACTATGTTACAACTTTTATAATTAACTAGCTGACCCCGTAAACGTTGTTTTACCACTTATTGCGAAATATAAAAATCGCAATTAAAATACAGGGATTGATCGTAAAACGTTGAAAATTTAAAGTTGTATGTATTTTTCAATGCTAAATCATAATAAAATAAAAATGGAAAAATTTGTCAAAAAAATAAAATAATATATTTTGGTGAGGGTCACCCTTATCATTGAGGGGTATGAAAAATAGATGTTGGCCGATTCTCAGACCTACCCAATATGCACACAAAATTTCATAAAAATCGGTAAAGCCGTTTCGGAGGAGTTTGGTAACAAACACCGTGACACGAGAATTTTATATATAAGACTAGTTGACTCGGCAAACGTTGTTTTACCATATACATTATTTTTATAACTATACATGAAAATTTATCCTACTACAATTATTATACTGGATTGTCATCTTGCAACCCTTTTGCAACATATAAAAATCGCGATTAAAAAACAGGAGTTGATCGTAAAACGGTGAAAATTTGAGCTTGTATGTATTTTTCAATGCTAAATCATAATAAAATAAAAATGGAAAATTTGTCAAAAATCAAAAAAATTTTTTTGGGGAGGGTCGCCCTTATCATTGAGGTGTATGAAAAATAAATGTTGGCCGATTCTCAGATAGATTATGAGTATTTTTTATTAAATTTATATTATTAATGAAATATAAAAAGTGCCAGAATATTATAGTAACATATATGTATTAACTTCCAATGATTAAAATAATTAAATTTTAATTTTCTTGTATTATAAATTTTAATATTTACACGCTTACATTGTAGCAGAATAAGACTGGATCATAATTTTATTCTAATATAACACCTTGTTGTACTAAATAAAGTGTACCTTATTGTAATAAATATATGAGTTCTAATTCTTTTAAAACAAGTTATTATCATAGGCGTCCCTCTATTGGGGAATTTTGCCAGAAGTTGCCAAACTTGGCAGGTCGGTTGGCAATCGCAGGTAGGCCTTAGAGGTATTTATTTTATATATTATCAAAATGAGAATAGGAACACCAACCCATCATTAAAAAAAAAAAAAAACTTATTTACACTATGTCAAACAAAAAGGAGGTGATACACGTTATGATTTCTATATCTAAGTCTATAGAAAAATTTATATAATTTTAATTCTGTTATTTTATAATAACTGCAGGGGAAATATTAGAATTATTTATATGAGGAAAATTGCGTAAATGATGTAATAATTATTTGAAGACTTAATTTCTTAGGAATTTAATCATGATGATTTAAGCACTAGAACATTTGTTTAATCTGAGAAATCCTCTTAGTAAATAGATTTTACTAAGTAGCTAAAAGGAAGTAGATATAGTATAACTATAGTACAACTACTAGTACTACACTAATTGAAATTGGAATATTTACTACCATTAACAATTATAGTAGTGAGCATATTTATTTATTTTACTTCAGTTCAGGTACAGTACGGTGGACAACTGGAGTGGAGTCCGTCCATCTGGTTAGCATATCGTAGAGACGGCCTATTCGAATATTCATCAGCTCTTTGTTTGGGCCCCCTACTTGCTCCTTCACTATGCTAATTTGTGACGTCAGTTTGTTTGTTCGAGACTGATTTTGAAAGCGTTTGATTTTGACGGCAATTTTAACTTCTAATAACTAGATATGCAGAAATGCCTAAATCAAAAGTTGAATAGATATTTCTTCGTATTTAAATTAAAGTTAATTGAAATTTTAGTTTAAGGTACCTCTTTCAAATATTTAAAGTATTTAACAATATTGGCCGATTCTCAGACCTACCCAATATGCACACAAAATTTCATAAATATCGGTAAAGCCGTTTCGGAGGAGTTTGGTAACAAACACCGCGACACGAGAATTTTATATATTAGATAAAGAACGCTATTAGGTGTTAGTCCGCCATATGTACACTTACTTATATAATATAATTATGCATTGAAATTTAAATAATTAAAGATAGATAAGTAGATACTCTTTATTGTTTCATTGCACTGTATAATATAAGAAAAGAAGAGGAAATAAATAACATTTTTTTTTTTGCAATTAGGCCTTATTTTTTATATTTTAAAATATTGTCTTAGCAGTAAAATATTTGTTAAAATTTACCTTATGCAGAAATATCCGTTCATAAAGTTACAAAAAGATATTTATTTACTGCATTGATAATTTCCCACCAAAATACAAAAGGTTACTTTTAAAATGTCACCATTTTTCTAAGCTTAATGTCAAGCAGTTGACAAAAGCTAACCTTTCACGACAACAAAAACTCTTTGTTTTAAAAAGAAACAAGGTTAAAAAAACATGCTTAATATAAAAAAAGCCTTAGCAATATGTCGATAAAGAAAATGCAATTTCTGAGATAAAAAAAGTAAAGTCTTATTTATGAAAATATCTATAGACATAAAATTCAGAAATAGAAATCACTCAAACAATTATTTTAATTTGTAGGTTACACCCAATCTAGACCATATTTTATTTTAGCATCTACAGTGATGCTAAATCCAGCAACTTACTATTATAATATTATATTATTTTAACTTACTCAATAGATCAATGTGTACGTGAATATGAAAACCAAATAATTACAATTATTACTTGCAATACCAAATGGCGCGTTTTATTCTATTTTTCAAATAAATTTATGCGTTTATGGGCTGAGCGTTTTTGGAAACTTTATTGACAGCGGTGGATTATATCATATTTATCACTCCCAGTAATGTTATAAAAATCAAAAGAAATAAATGTATAAATAACGTATGTCTTAAATTATACATTTGAATATTTTTTATTTGTATTATTCATGTACGATAGCACAACATTCTCTTTCTCAGCGCCTCTTGGATAACACCTCTCTTTTAAGGGTCCGGTGTACCACCATTTTCTGAAATTCTCATGAACACTTTGTATCTTATATCTTTTCTCGTCGTTAAGAAATTCACAAAGCTTACAAACACCTGATGTGTTCTCTACCTTATGGATAGTATAGTGGTTTCTCCAACGGAAAAATCGTCGGTACACACTAGGGTTTCGAATACTGTAGTCTATGATTGCGGCTAGTTTTTCAATATTTCCAGATCGGGCCTTGATATACGATCCTTCGGGTAGAAAACTGAAATAAATTATAATAAGTAGTTAGAAGTATTATTAGTTATTTACACTGTAATGAACGTAACTCGATTTGCCCACATTTCAATTACAATATTCGAATGAAACGTAACGGTGAATCACAAAGTAAATTGACATTCTATAACTACGACCAATTTCAAACTAATGACTATAGAGTTTTTCAGAACAATAACAAGTTAAAATAACAACACAATAACATAAGTACAAATAAAAAATGTTCATTAAGGTCCAATCTTCAAATTGTGTTTTAACAATCTAGATAACAAATATCGAGTGCTTTACCCAGAAAAATCAGACTTGAGGGAATTCAAATTGATCGAGCTGAGATCGAACTCAGGCCCTAATTAATTTAAAGCTGCATACTGTGTCATAAAGGTCGTTATAAAGATTAAAAAAAATGGAAATAATACTCACTGATGATAATTAGCACCGCCATATACAATTGGTACAGCGCCATAATTATAGCCTTTTAATACTTCACTAGTCACATAGTCTTCTGTTATGCTATCTTCGTATGCTAAATAGAAGTAATAATCTCTCTCTATAGCTTTTAGACAATCTCCCTCTGGACATTGTGACATTTTACAGCCATAAACATCCAGTGCTAGCGCATGTTCTTTTAATGCATGCTGTAACTCTTTTGCAAACGTCATTCTTTCAACAATCGTTCTAGTGTAACATTTATGTATTACCCACGCAACTGCTTTAGATTTTGAATTTATTCCTTTTACCTGTTTACTTGTCAGTCCAGTCATATTTTCAATCCATTTCACATTTGAACTTGGAGCAACAACATTACCTTTTAAATCTCTAACTTCAACGAATGGACTTACGATATCTGAATTTAATTTGTAGGACCAAGTCCAATTAAAGTAATTATCAAGATACAAACTACACATTGGCATATCATCAGCTGATTCTTTGCCGTAAAATATGTATTTTTGTACACTGTTTCTCTCTCGAGGCATTTCTTTGTATTTCAAGTTTCTGATAATATTTACGTCAAAGATTATAGCATCGAAATTTCTGTAGTCTCGTTTCAAAAGAGTCTTCTTTGTAGTGATGTAGCAGTTGTAATATGGACAACTATTGCTTATAAATAGCAGTTGGCCATCCCCAAAAGGATTAGCAGCATTTTCGGTTACTGTCCAAATCAGAATATACTTTAGATCATTATCATATCTATCTTTCCCGAAAAATATTTCCGGATTCGGCAATCCTTGGATTTTCTCCTGGTATTGTACCAAATCAGACACTGTTTTATATGCCGTGTGGAAAGTGTAAAATGCTAGAATCGCGTACATTACTAACCCAGTGAAACTTATTAAAAAAAATAACTTTGCAAATGTTTCCGTTTTCATTATTAAGTACATTTTGTCCCGTTGTATGTTGCGGTGGGGAAACAATGGACAGAATGACGCTCGCATCTCGTTGGATAACAAAGACGTTTTCCAAGATATCTCATTAGCTGACGAGAGTAAACAAGAAATTCTTTTAATCACAAATAAACAATGCCGAGACGTGAATCAGATACGACATTTTATTGACTGACTCAAAAGAATATACAATATGTTAATATTTTGTAAATGAATTTTTATAACACAAAATAACTTGAACGCGAATTAATAATATATCTGAATCATTAACATCATCATCAATATCACCCCTTAACTGTAGTTAAACTGTGGTTGTCACGCTTACCGGGCAGTTTGGCAACCTCAGTTACAAGTAAGCTTTACTAATGTTTTAAGAGAGCGCTGCTGCCCATTCCTCGACCACTAAGTTTCTTTTATCGCCTATTACGCCACCCCCGGGAAAGGAATGGGTGGCTCATTTTATGCCAAGACCACACGATTAATATATATAACTTAATACCACTTGTTTTTGTACTAAAATAAAAAAATATATATTAAAAACAAAATATGTTCACGGCTATAGTTACTATGCGGGAAGCATTAGTGATTATAGTATTAGTAGTTAACTTATTTTTTAAAGGTATTAGTCGATTCTAGCTGTTCTAACTATAAGGAAACGTCAAATAGCTCTAAAGTCTCTGATTAAAAACTTAATGTGATTAACGTGGCAAAATACCCAACTACAGTAGATGGCTTAGGATTTTATTACTATTATCAGGGTGAATAAGAAAATAAAAATATAAAATCCTGTGGATTTTATTTTTTATCTTGGAATGTACCTCATCAATTAATTTTGGTATGGACATGGTGTCTTCAGAAGGTAATATAATTATAAAATCTACATACAAAATAAAAAAATAGCGAACCAATAAAAATATGACAACTAGATGTCAATAAATTAAATAAAAATAAAAGAAACCAATAAGGCTCATCGTGCACATTGTAATGGATGTATATTTTTAACTGTGCAGTAAAAAGTCAGTTTTTTTTTTTATAAAAAGAAATACTCATATGTAATTTTTTTTAAAGGCTTTGACTAGCAAAAACTCAAATAATACGTAAACATTATGTACAACGTGCCCCTTGAGTCTTATATTGACAACTTCACTTTACATAACATTTGTACGTTTTCCCCTCAGACACCTAAAACGTTGAGGCTTCTCAAAAGAGATCCGTCTGTCTGTCTATTCGCAGCCAAAAAGCTCTCGAGAAAATTTTTCTATCAGTCGATGTCTCCCTCTATTTGCTAAGACCTGTTTCGTTAGACGTACGAGTATTACGTGTTTCCATTGTACAAAAGAGCATTAAACTATTTAACATCTATTATTATTATCATTATATTTAAAGTCTACTTCAATATACCTTAAATTAGACTGCTGATGTCCAATAGTAGTGCAAATCCATAATTGATCAATACATTGATTGTTTCAATATGTTCATTTCGAGTTCTGTATGTTAAAAATAAGCTTTTATAATAGGTATAATCCGCCATCTTGCGGTGGCGGCCATTTTAAAACTATTACAATATTGAGTATATCATATTGTCACCAGAACTTTTATGTATGCAAAATTTTTGCTCAATCAGATTTCCAGTTTCAGATAAGTGATTTTAATTGAATTTGTAAAATTTAATTTAAGCTAAATGAAGAACCTTGTTAAGAAAGAACCCTTTTTGAAAACTTTAAAATATTTATTGTACTTTTCATACAAAGCCGGCTGTAATATTATCAATTTAATATAAAAAGTGCACTGTATTTAAATTTTCAACTATGTTTCTTAAAGAAAACGACCAGTCAGTTTCTTTGACACGGTTTTAATTTCGTATCGGATGCAACATTGGACACTCACCAACGCTCTTTGCATGTAGGACGTCGAGTCTTCGGCAAATATGGACATCGCGTATGAAGTCAAACAAAATTACGTATTCCATAAAAATATACCCCTTTTGAGACACGTGACAACGCGAACGTACCGTAGTGGCATACGGCGTTTGTAGTTTACTGTTGACGAGTTAAAACATTTTGATGTCAAAGTAAAAACCTCAGTAGTAAGTACACAAAAATCATAATCTATAAACCCGAGTAATTCAATTTTTTTTTTTTTTTGTAATATATCTGATGCGATATTTTCATTGATAATTATGTCATTTTTATATCTGCTGAGAATTACTAGACTTAAAACATTTTTTTTTATACAACTTAGAATGACAAACAAGCTGACGGCCCACCTGATGGAAAGTGGTAACCGTCGCCTATAGAGGTGAGCAGTATCATGGACATAACAGAGTATACTGTTTCGCCCATGATACCCCCCATGCGTTGCCATTCCTGAGGACTCAGGTGTTATTCTTCTGTACCCAGTAAATTCACGCTATATCCCACCCTTCAAACCGAAACACAGCCATGCAAACACAACTGCTTCACGGTTGAAACACGAATAGGACAGAGGTACCCAAGCAATCGACTTTTGTACAAAGTCTCCCTCTGGTGAAAACATTTATTAATTAGGTTATTAATTTTGACAATGCTATAATTTCGATAATATTTTTACAATAGACAGGGATTACTTCTATTTTATTAAGAAAGGCAAATTATAATATATATAACTGAGTACTGTAATAATTATTTAATAGGAAGTTCCGGGTGCCTGAAATAATAGTGATCTTCTTAAAAAATCAATAAATTTTAAATACATTACTCAACACCAGAATGCATGGTGCATGATGCATACTGCTCGTGCCTATAGGCAACGGTTACCGCTTTCCATCAGGTGGGCCGATAGCTTGTTTGCCATTGTAAGTTGCATAAAAAAAATGCACGTGAAGACCACAGGCGTCACGGTATCCATGATGATAGTTATCACTTTCCATTGCATGAGCAATCAACTGTTTTGCTATTCTAAATTATATTTAAAAAAGCATGCAAATAAAATTCACTCAGTCATACGTATGCCATTTGATATTTCCACAGTTTAAGCCACCAGACGTATTTCAGCGATTGCACTGTGTAAAATAATATCATTGCGACGTCGTTGTTCAGAAATGAATTGTAAATTATTTTATTTGCGTGGCTCGGGGACGATTTCCAATTTTCGATACCGCAGTTGAATTATTTTCAATTATGACTGCGAAGCGTTGGATTCAAAGGTAGTTTTAAGTACTCTCAATATTTAACGACAGAATAATGGATTTATTTTCAATCGTCGTCGTATGTCTGCAAGAGGTCTCCCATATGAAGATCATTAGCCTACAATACTTTTTAAGGTGTCCTCTCCTATTAGAGGTTGGCGATCATCATGACGTTCTTTATTTTGTCCATCACAATCTTGATAAAAGGGCCTGCTGCTCATTTCGAACTACTGCCTTAGATTTTTTGCTCAGAAAGTTCGGCCTCTTTCCAGTCTTCGGCAACCTTGGACCTTTCCCTGTATTATAAACTGCAGAACCTCTGTGGCTGACTATATTACCACTGTGGTACACCGAATCAGCTTTTTTATATCACAAAAACGAAAAATGTTAAAAGATATAACCTATTCAAGTAAAACGAATTAAATTCAAATCAATTCATCTATTTAAGTGTAATTCAATAACAAACATTCACACATCTGAAGATCGATACTTTTTATTTTTAACTAGCTGTATCTCACAGCTTCGTCTGCGTAAATCAGTATATAAAGCCTCCTACGTGCTAAGTTATGATATAACCTACCCATGTATGTATTCAAATTTCATTCAAACTCGTTTAGTAATTTTTATATGATATAGTAACAAATATCCATCCGTCCATCCGTCATTACAAACTTTCACACTTATAAAAGCATACAGTATGATAAGAAATATCAACATTCTAAAGTAAAACACTATAATTACTGCAATAACGGTTAGTCGATTCGAATCCTAGAATTGGACATTTCATTAGTAGCGTAGTTCATTAGTCATCTAAGATAATTACATCGTAAACACACCTGCGCCTCGCTTTACCGAGATTTGTGGATACTGTCAAACGGCTATAAACACGAACTGTTTCTACTTAGCGGAATACATTTCTAGTTGTTATCAGTCTATCTTCACTCCTAGTACCTTACAAATTGGGCAGAGAGAAGCGACTGCCATAGGTCTCTTTTCTTACATTTTTCTTTTTTTTATATATACTACTATGGTGGCGCAATATACCCTATCAGGTCAACCTCCACGTGGTCTCTTCTGGAAACCATCGTGCTAAATTTCACATACATTCATCACGATGGGCTAACTGTCCTGCCTTTTCATTCTCACCTATCGTCCCCTCACTGGTGCCCCGCCAGCGTATACCGTTAGCACAAGCGGGGCTACCATTTCATTATACTCCATTAAAAAAAACTACTGTGGTGACAAACAAGCTTACGGTCAGTCTGATGGTAAACTGAGTTACCGTAGCCTAAGTACACTTATAGTTCTAGGGTCACGCGTATTATTTCTTCATTTTCTCATCAGACTTTTTTTTTATTTTTCTAATTATCGTTTTATACTCTTGCTTTAAGATAAATTTCATATAATAAATATGTGGAATATAGATATTTAAACCCGTCATACTAAATACTTTCATGTCCAATTTCATAATGTATGGTAAACAATTAAATGTTGACTGTAGACATGATCAGACCATGGACCTCACAAAATACCTGCCCATGGTATCCCTCATGCGTGCCTCCGTACTCTATAATTTCTTTGCCAAATTCCACCCTTCTTTTACAATTTGTCATCCATATGCCCCGGGCTCCATTATCCTTTAAAGTTATTCTCTCACGCAAAATCACAGACCTCCCCCGATATAATGAAGCTGGAACAATGTATAACTAAGTTTAAACTTCACCCGAAGATGTCTAACAAATTTATATACCTATGTCTGAGACAGTGGTTATGAACTGATGTTGTGTTATGACAAATATTCAAGACGGTGACCGCATCAGGCATCCAGGAG